CCCCCGCAGCCACTTGAAAGCATAAAAACCATTCTTCGCTCATGAATGTGTAAAAACAGGTGACAGGCCAGAGTGGCCTGCAGGCTGCTGACCCCTGTACTATTAGCCTCAGGAAAGCAATAAAAAGCCAAAGGGATCCCTGACACCTAGATTGTCAGTTGCCCATCGGCAAACAGATGGCACACTCAAAGGGGCAATGGGAGTGCAATAAAAGGGGAGGGGGTGTTCACAGTGGTGTGGGCAGGGTTTAGGGAATTATTAAGAGCTGGGGGCACACTCAGGTGTCAGCACCAATAAAAAGCTATTGCTGCCCCTCCCTCGGGCCAAGGGAAGGAAGCTGTTTCTGGAACCAACCAAGACCTATAGCTATGTCAAACTGTAAGCCAGCAGGGAAGGAGCTGGAGAAATAAACACCTCAAATTCTCTCTCCTCTCATCCCCACTGGCAACCCAGCTGGGAGCCAAAGGGCAGGGGGACTCCCTGATGGAAATCCATGGGCACCAAGCAAGGTCAAACATGAAAGATGGATCTGGAAGGGCAAACAAATTGAAATAAAACGATATGCCACCAATAATATGGTATGATTGAGATTTTTAATTGCAAAGCCTTGCTTTGTTGATCCTCTAAGTGTGTGTGTATATGTGTTTTTTAACCAGCCCATGTTTACGAACATTAAACAATCCAAGAAAAAATTCAAAACAGGTATCTCATATGTGTTTCCAAAATTTAGGTAACCTTACTTTAAGTTTCAGCCTATTGTTGGTTTTAAGTGAAACGTTATTAAATACTTGCCATAAAAGGCGAACATTGCCTTTCTTCATGGAAATAGATTATAACCATCCATGTGGCATGCAATTGGTGAGCAATCCAGATTAAATATGAAACTTCTCCTGCAGACAGTTCATTATCTTAGTGAGCTCAGGAGACAAATGTCAGTGGTGGCTTCTCTTTTGGGGGAGCTGTGTCAAGTCCAGAATCACAGCCAAGGGGAGTCTGGTGCAGAGATGGTCAGTAGTGGGCTTGTCAACCTTGGCTGTGAGCAGTGGCCTAGCCAGTTCAGACAAATGTTTGAAATGGAAAGAATTTATGTTTTGTTGGAACTGCTTATCTTGGAGTTAACTGATTTTCAGTGGAAGCTTTTCCAAGAATTTGGGAGAGGAATCAGAGTCATATGATAACCTTGCTTCAAGCAGATGCCATTCAGACCTGTTGGTCGAGAAGATCTTTCCATGAGTTTCCTTGCTTGCCTTGAGTGGGACCCACCTGCCTCAAAGGCCCTTTGGCCTTTCGATTGGGAATTAGGTGCACATCTTTATTTATTTATTTTTTTAAGCTTTTATTGTGAATTGAGTGATAGTTTACAGGGTAGATCTTCAGTTTTACACTCAACAAATCATATTTTGTTTCATTGCAATGATTGCAATCTCCTCCATGTGCCACCAGTTTACGGTATTTTCCTCTATTTTTTTCTTGATGTATACAAAACACCCAGAAAAATATATATTTGTTTAAATGCCCAAAGGACACATTTTGCAAGCCAGCCTCCTGCCCACAGGCACACAGCCTTTCTCAGTCCATGGGTCTAGAGTCCTCAGGTGCTCTATCTCTCTATGCCATCACCTCAGTTGTCACTGCTTTACTGGTTAGATCCCACACTCCACTCATACTCTTCCTTCTTGATGGTCCTGGAATCCTCTGTTTCTGAAATGAAAGATTAACTACTCCCCCCTTGTAGTTAGACATATTCTACAATCACAGTTGTGACAGTCACAAGTAGTCATGATAACAATTACTCACTATTGAATGAAAAGAACCCTATCTCCAGCCTCGCCCATCCCCTTTCACCAGACCCATCTGGACAAGAGGAAAACTATTCATAAGCCTTTTTTTTTTTTTTTTTTTTGACTGTGTGTTCTTGTTTGTCTTGGCCCCATTCGCTTGCTTACACATAGATTTGTGGGTTTCCCTATGTCAAAAGTATTATGACATCTATAGGAATGGAAGGACAATGTAATCTGTGATTGATGGGAGTCAAGTCCTTGGGAGCCTGTCTCAGGCACTGGGCTTGTGGACAATGTTGTATTATATCGCATGCTCATCTCTAAAGACCAGTTGCAGCCCACTTTTAAGTGCCTCAGGACTGATGATTAGAACCTCTTTGACATGATCTCATGTCTTCACCATATTTCTAACATCTTTTCGCTTTCAGGCACAAGAATCTTTAAATCCAAACAATTTAGAATATTGGATGGAAGATATTTATACTCCAGGCTACGACTCATTACTAAAACGCAAGGAAGCCGAATTCAGACGAGCCAAGGTCTGCAAGATAGCAGCTTTGATTGCAGCTGCCGCCTGCACGGTTATCCTGGTCATTGTTGTGCCCATCTGCACCATGAAATCCTGAGGCAATGGACACAGTGTTGTGGACAGTTTAGTACTACCAGTATCTTCCTCTGTTTTAAAATCTTGCAGCAAAAAGTCATAATGATTTGTTGAACTAGAGAAACAATCTTGGAGACTTCTCTGCAAATGCTGAAGATGGTCTTCAGAAAGTATACATTCGAGAAAGAAATCTACCTACTTATTAGGTTTGACTTAGCTACTTTGATGCATTTTTAGAAGTGCAATATTTTTTCCTACCAAAAAGAATGTAAGGGATACCAGTATATACAAAAAAGGGTGGGTGGGGGAGATTCATTGGACTCTTTCATTTTGATGAAGTTTTATGATGGGGAATCTGATATACAGAGCATGTTTAATACCTCCCTCTTTGAGGGAAGCTAATGGAGATAGCAAGATGAGAAGAAACAGTTAAGTATTGTGTATTCCTGAATGTTAGACCATTATTGGGAGCAGCAGAGATGATTCCATAAAGAATGTCTCTTCTCTGCTGACTTTTACCAAGGGCTACTGACTTCTTTCTTGCCCGTCTGTCACTGCTGTGGTCCTCACTGCAGATCTTCATGGAAATATTCTGGCCTTCCTCATGCCCACATAGGAAGGAGCTAGCCTGCCAAATCAGGCATGAAGTGTATGTTCTCTGCTTAATGGACCAAGAGATTCCGGCCAGGAAACCTTCCCCTTCTAAGCCCCAAGGTGTTGGGTGCCTACTTACTATCCACATAAGGCCAATATTTGAAAATCATGGCTGCCCCAAAGGAGCTTCCATTTTGCTTTGACATGTGGCAACAATCTAGGTTTTCTATTTGGTACCAGATACTCTGCTTCTCACACATGAGTTGAAGAGTTTGGGACTTGTCCTTGTGCCTTGAAGAGTAGAGACAATGGCTAAACTTTGACTTTCTAAACCATAAACCATGATTTCTGTGTACCACTAATGATAGCCATTTTCTATGGCTTTAAAAAGATGTTGAAATCTTGTCCAATGATATGATAAAGGCACTGAGGTCTTCTCACTTAGCCCAAACACATACTCCAGAGTTTTGAATACCTGTCAGCAGTGCAAAAAATATGTATTTAACTGTTTATCTATCTATATGTCTATCTAAATATCTAATTTTAATTTGTTGTCTTCTTTGTTAAATAAGTTGAGAATAGATGTCTTCAGTGTATGGGAAGCAGTTGTAATTTCATCAAATCTGATCTCAGTTTCCATCTGCTGAATGGTGCTTTTCAGGATCTGATGCTAATGTCTTGTTTCAGGTTAAAGAACACAAAATTGATAGAAAAAAGCTACCTTAATTTAAGAACAAACCAAACCAAACCCATTAACATCGAGTCAATTCAGACTCTGAGCAACCCTATAGGAAAGAGTAGAACCATTGTTTAGGGTTTCCAAAGCTGTCATCGACATGAAAGTAAGCTGCCATGTGTTTCTCCCACAGAGATTCTAACTGCCGACCTTTTGGTTTGCAGCCAAATGCATAACCACCAAGGTTCCTAATTTTAAGAACAAAATGGAATGAAAATACATTTTTGTGTAAGAATAATCACTATAGATGCTATGATAAATTACTGCAAGATAAGTTTGGGAAGCATCTCAGTATTTAAAGCAATAGGAGTCCAACATCCATTCTAATAATTTCCAAATCATATATAGATTTCTGTGTTCACAATTCTATCGTTCATCGTTAAAGGGTTGTCAGTAAATTTTAAGATGTCACTAACTGAAACGGATGCTTTCATCTTCATTATTGTGTTTATGTGGAATTTCATTTAGTGATTGCAACTTAAGCCTTAGTATAGAAAACTGAAGATTTATCATTGAAAATGAATATACATACAGATCTTTGTTTGTGTATATATAAAAACTGTCTATGTCAGAATTTTCATCTTTTGGTGCTCTGTTTTGAGTTGAGCACATTACATCCAATGAGGTTTTTTTCTTTGACCCCAAAGGGGATACTAGATTAACACCCTTGGGAGTTGCCATCCACATTCCCTCCAATCCTTGTGTCTCTATCCCATATCATAGCCCCACCAGTCTCCTTTGTCTCCTTTTTTATTACAGATTAAGCTGCTAGAGCATCAAAAATACATAGTTCCTAACCTCTTGCTTCATGAACAGAACAATGGAGCTATACTTATGCAGGATAACGATCATCTTGTCAAATCCCAACCAGACTCCTCCATTTGACAGGTAGGATGGATTGCAGGGCTGGATCAAACCACTTCTGTCACTGCCCTTTGGGCCATATGCTTAGAGGAAAGGGGTGACTGTAAGTCCCACCTCATGTGGTTGTTGGTGCTTATGTGCCGTGGAGTTCATTCCGACTTACAGTGACCCTGTGTAGGGTTTCTGAGGCTGTAAATCTTTATGGGGGCAGAAAGCCTCATCTTTCTTCCACGGAACAGCTGGTAGTTTCAAACTGCTAACCTTGCAGTTCGCAGCCCAATTTGTAACCACTATGCTACCAGAGCTCCTTCACCTCATGCATTTTTTTCCTATAATTTTCTTCTACCCTTCTCATATCTGGAGAAGAAGTCAGAGAAATTCATTGTGGCTTTAATATTTATCCCAACACCATAGGCCATAATGGGGATATCATAACGTTTTAATGCCCCACGGAAACCAGACAATAAAGGTCCAAACACCTTCTGTAGAGGTGTCAGCCTGACAGCATCAAGGTTGATCCTGAGGTTCCTGGCTTTTTCCATGGGTTGAATTAGATGGATGCTTGGGGTCTTGGGATCTGGAAATGTGAAGTCCACAATCAGATCTTTTCTCTTCGTTAACCCCGAGCTTGCTATGGCCTTCTTTGCCTAGACCATAGGATGAACTCAGCTCTTCTATTTGTCAAATTGGGCTGCAAGAAAGCTTGTATGCACCCCTCTAATGTATCCTTCATATCTTGCAGAGCTCCCCACCAGTGACATATGGACTGGCTTGTCTGCTATATGGGTACCATCTTCCACCATCACCTCTGGCATTTTTTCATAAAGTATAATTTCTTGTGCCTGAGTCTAAAGTCACTTCATTATCAAATTTCACTTCATTTTTCTTACATTTAAAAATTTTTTAGATCATTTATTTAAGGGACTATTTTGAATTCAGATGTCCTTAGCTGGTGATTAAATTCAGAATCATTTCAACCTCTTTTCTGATCTGAATTTGTTTTGAACACAGCCTTGCAGAAAAGCAAAAATATCCCCAATTTAAAGTTTTAGGCATTATATCAGTACCTCCTGCTTTATACTGCAAAGATCATACTTACATTGCCCATTCCATAAGTTGTTAGTGTTTTAGGACATGCAGCAGTGTAATTATTATCTGCAAGTCTAGTTTAATAGATTTGCTGAGAATCACTGTTCTGATTATATGTACCATAAGTCCTGATACCCTTATTGGAATCAAATCAGTGCTGTTTTTATTTACAGTTTATCAAGATAAGAGCAGTCCCTCATTTTTTTAAAAAATAAAAAATCTACCAACAGTAAATGATTCTGTTAAGTGGTATAAAAATGTGTGAATGTTGAAATTCAACATGCTTCATATTATAACCAACCTGCAAGAATATTGTGGTCAATTGTGTGAATACCAAATCCATATATACTGTATATTGTAATATGGGAATTTGTATTTAAAAGCAAAGATACTAGTAATTGTTGGTGTCATTGGGTGAGAGGGTACTAGATATTTATTAATAAAGTAACAATGAGAAATGCAACAAACTTCTTATTTATGCCTTATAAATCAAAGGGTGTGAAATGTGGTATTCATGGGGTGGGGGGGCTCTAACTGAAACTGTATCTTGAAGGCAGGGATGGTGTCTTTTCTATGTCTGTTCTGTAAAGCTCACAGCACACTCTTGGTGCTTGATAAATGTTATATAATACCAATCACTAAGCACATTTTTAGATTTTTTTCAAATGGCTTGTGTAAAAATTGGTTAATGTACAATGGTTGGTTTGAAGCTATCATGTAAAATTTGCCTCTCCAAATATAATCAAAAATAAACTGAAAAAATATAAGCTATCTTGCAGTGAGATTTAATCTTGTGTTCAAACTGTAAGTGGTCAGCTTTCTGCACATATCCTGAGTATTCAGATAGACGAATGTTCACAAATTAAACACATCTATGAAATAAGCACCCAGATTTCAAAACAAAACAAAACACAGAACATTCCCATCACGCAGAAACCTTCTTCAAACCTCTTTCCAGTGAAAATCCTGCAAAGAAAAATCACTGTCCTAACGTCTAACAACCCAACTTAATTTGTGTGCTCTGAAACTTTATTGAAATGCAATCATGCAACATGTACTCGATGTATGTCTCCCTTTTTTTAATGCCTTCTTTCACTCAACACTTTGTTTGTGAGGAGAGAGCCATGCTGTTGTGTGATTGTTGTTGTCTCACCGTCATTGCTATGTGGTACGTGTGAATACGCCACAATTTATTTATCCATTTGCCTTAATTGCCTTGTTATGACATAGCCAAACCATACCACAAGTGAGTGGCTTTAAAGAACAGAATTTTTTTCTGCTTGCACTTTGGGGTGCTATAAGTTCAAACTCAATGCATTTGCTCTAAGGAAAAGTCCTTTCATTTTTATTTGCTTCTCTCGGCTTCTAGAAGCTTCCCGCAATCTCTGGCATTCCTGCAATTGTAGATCCCCTGCCTCTTCACATGGCATTCGTCCTATATGTGTGTCTGCCTTTTCTGGTCTTTTTTATGGCTCTGTTCAGAAAAGATTAGGTTTGTGACCTGCCCTACTCTGGTGGTGGTGGTTTGCCACTGCGTCAGTTCTAATGCATGGCGACACTGTATACGGTTTCTGAGGCTGGAAATCTTTACTGGAGCCGAAAGCCTCATCTGTGTTCTGTGGAGCAATTGGTAGATTCAAACTTCTGACCTTGCAGTTAGCAGCCCAGTTTATAATCCACTACATTACCAGCGCTCTTTACTATACTCTGGTTGTTGATGTTGAGTGCCGTTGAGTCGA